CTCAGCCTCCCAAGTAGCTGGGATTACAGGCACACGCCACCATGCCTGGCTAATTTTTGTATTTTTAGTAGAGACGGGGTGTCACCATGTTGGCCAGGCTGGTCTCAAACTCCTGGCCTCGAGTGATCTGCCCACCTTAGCTTCCCAGAGTGCTGGGATTACAGGTGTGAGCCACCACACCCGGCTGACAGTGATGTTGTAAGTTCTGAGAACCCAGTATCATGGGACCAACTAGAGTAGCACTCTTCCTTAAGGTCTGTTTTAGCAACTGGTTAATTTGGGGGTTTCTGAGAATATCGCCTGTGCGTTACCTGGGGGTTCTGTTTCAGTTACTGGGAGTTTTGTTCAATCCACCCAGACTTGGGAGGCGGCATCATGTAGAAGAAAGGGTGTGGGCTGTGAGCCATACAGCTCTGGGCTTTGTTCCCAGTTCTTCTTACTGTGTGTGTGGCTTTGAGCAAGTCAGTTAGCCTTGCTTTGTATGTTTCTTTATCTGTGAAATAGAAATGCTAGTACTTCAGTGGAAACACTGTGATGCTAATAGATAAAATGTATAAAGCTTATGGCATCTTTCCTGGCACTCTCCAGGTTCGATTTGTGTACTCTTAATTCTGGATTGAGACGCATCACCAGTATGAGGCCATTGATACGTTTTGTGTGGTTTTCTGTTTGCAGCCGCCCCCGAAGCCTACCATGCCTAGCCGTCCCATTGCTCCTGCTCCACCTTCCACCCTGTCACTTCCGCCCAAGGTTCCAGGGCAGGTTACCGTTACCATGGAGAGTAGCATCCCTCAAGCTTCAGCCATTCCTGTGGCAACAATCAGTGGACAACAGGTTTTTCTTCCTTTTAATTTGCTGATTTTCAACTGAAATGCCAAACTATTGATCATGATTTATTGAATGCTAGCGGTACATTAGGCATGGTAATAAAAAAAGATTAAACACTCACTGATAACCTGCAAGGGAAGGTAGTAGGTTTGAGAGAGAAGGATAACTGGAGGGAGTAGAAGCCAGTATCCATAGTGGTCATTTAGCTAGAATTTATTGAGCAGCTACTAGCTGCCCGATTCGACCCTCAGTGTGATGTATAAATCTGGATAAAACAGTCCGTGTCCTTGAGTCCGGAGTGTGGTTTGTGTTTGATTTTAGCGTCAAGAACAGCCTCCCAGGGGTAGTGGTGGGCAGTGCTTCTCTGTGGTTTCTCTGAGGAGAGCAGATGTGCATCTTTTGGGGTACTGGTAGGTTACCTCAAGCAGCTCTCTAGTTGCAAACTTTTTTTTTTTTTTTGGGACAAAGTCTTACGCTGTCACCCAGGCTGGAATGCAGTGGTGCGATCTTGGCTCACTGCAACCTCCACGTCCCGTGTTCAAGCAATTCTCTTGTCTCAGCCTCCCAAGTGGCTGGGATTACAAGCGTGCGTCACCATGCCTGGCTAGTTTTTTTATTTTAATAGAGACGGGGTTTCACCATGTTGGCCAGGCTGCTCTCCAACTCCTGACCTCAAATGATCCGCCCGCTGTGGCCTCCCAAAGTGCTAGGGTTACAGGCATGAGCCACTGCACCTGGCCTTAGTTGCGAACATTTATTTTGAAGTCTTCTGTTTTAAGGTTTTTTTGTGAAATTTTGC